GCACACACCCTATAGCGAAAACCTCTCCAAAAAAAAAAAATGATAACCACATAGTAGCAGCAGTCATTGACTTAGCAAAACAACCCCTGGCAGTGGAGATGAGGCCTCAGTTATTGAAGAAAAGGCTGTCCCCTGTAGGAATGAACAACTTTCCATTGATACTGACAGGAGCATTACATGCATATAATTAGAAAAACAGACCTCTGCAAGCATAAAAAAATGTCTCTGTCTTCACATTTTGTGACTGACTTCTCCAGGATTCCCCCTGTCCTTTCACCTTCAGAGCACTACTTAGGAATCGGACTGCATGCTTTAGTGGCACTGAGTCCTATACAGTTCTTATGCTCCCAAAGGGAAAATAAGAGTGTTTTTAGAATTGCCATGTGAGACAATAAGGATGGCTATAGGTAATTAGAAATGAATGGAATGGATAACTACAGAGTTTCCATTAATGACCATTTGGGATATATTTTTAATTTCTCTGACATTGCACATGTTGATTTTCCCCTCTACAGCCATTCACTTTTTCTGTAGAATTTCAGGAAAATCTGAGTTCACTGTAGACATGAAAAATTATTACATATGCATGCTTGCCTCTCATACATTGCCATTCACACATTAATTCCCTAGTTTGCTTTCCAAAATGAGCTAGAACTTAGAAAAGCATCCAAAAAGCTTTCAGAATGACATAGAAACTAGAAAAGGTAAAGAGCAACATCTTGAAAGAGACTTTGTAGCTGCTACCAATTGTAGCTGCAATATTTCCTGTGAAGTAGTCCATGTATTTATTCAATAAGTAGCCAAAGTTTCTAGGGATTTTGGAAGGTATACCTTAAAACTTGCATGCAAAATCCACTGTATTCTTCAAATTCTTCGTATCTGTTTCTTGACCATATCTATGCCAGTGAACTACCATACTTCTGCATGAATGTCAGGTAAGTATACATATAGCTGTCCTTTTGTACCCACAAATCTAGTATCAGCACTCATATCCACAAGTCAGTGAACCCAAAGACCAAATCATAATTTCTTAATCCCTTTTCAAAAGTGCAACCCAGGTACTTCACTATCTTCCAATAGATAGTCCTGGTAACATTAGATCTGTTTTTTTGTTTGTTGGTTTTTTTTTTTTTTCATGTGCAGTTATGATAACCCCTTCTGAAAATTTGGCCTTTTCAGTCAATTAAAGTGGGATTCTGCTCAAAAACTTAACTAGATATTGAGAATGGTTCCGTTTTCTTTAATGGTAACTATAATTGGCTTTCCCCTTTTCTCTTTTTAAATTTTTCGCCCTTCCATGCTGTGCTGCTTTTTACTGACTGTGACTGCATGTTGCACCCCGATGTATCCATCGTGATGATGTCACATGGCTTGTTGCTGTGATACCTACCACACCCCATTCCATCGTATATGTTATGGTTGCATAAATGCTCCACCCTCCTGTGTGTTGCTTCCATGGTTTCCTACTGAAAGTGCCCATGATGCACGGTGCTACACCTACCACTGTGTCTGCTGCAACAACACCTGCCACCAGCGTTCCGTTTGCTGCAACAGCTACAGGCAATCAGGTTTGGCTGCTTATTTCACCTGTTTAGACCTAGATAATAACAGTGTGTCGGTAAGATGTAGTACATGCTTTTTGGATTGGTGAGAGATATTGGTCCTTAAGTATTTCTTAAGCAATCGCCATATTTAGAAGTTTTTTTTTTACATGTATGTGAGAATATTCTATGCACTTTACTGTATGCTCTTTACTATTCGTTCTCAAGTTAGTCAGCAGATTTACTCATTTTTCATCAGTTATCAGCTGTCACTATTGATACTCTATATCCAGTTATCGCTAGCACACCAATCTTCAAATGCATATACTAAATATTTCTTAAATTCTCTTGACCAATGAGAATTTATTTTATTTTACTGCCATTTTTAGTTATTGTGTTTGAACTCTGACTTAGTACGAACATCATTTCTTACCTTCAGATCCACTAGAAAGAAAGCCAGATATCACATTTCTTTCGAAGGCACAGATACCCTTATCATGACTCAGTGATTACATCAGAAATTTCTTCTCATGCAGGCATTAGATGTGCTTGTGTTGTTTTGATTTTCGTTTGCTTCAGCTATTTCCAGACACAGTCATAGGGCAACTAAGTTTTGGGAGAGTCTAGAAATGACATGGAGCTAGATACAATAATTATTATATAATGCTATGACCATTTCACCTTATTAAAGTGGTAGCCATGCTTACGGACTGCAAATTCCATTGCCATTTAAATTAGAAGTGTAATAACCATAAAGCCCCCAGAGCACTAGTTCATTGGGCCAACAAACCACATTCTAATCTGTGCTTTGCAAAATTAACTATTAGTGGAAGTGGCTAATATGTCTAAAGTTTTCTATGAAATTGATGATGATTATTGATTAGCATGTCCAAGCAGTGAACAATATAAACAATTTTCTCAAGAAATTATTTTAATCTAAAATCTTTTTTACTACTATAGATACCCTATTTATCAGTAGATGAACTGAATAGCACCATGTTTGTTTCACAGATGTAGAAGTTACCAGTAGAACAGTAAGTTTCTTTAACTATTAATATAAATAATATTTTAGGTTATATTTTTATCGACACAATTTCATCTGCTAAAGGCTTTGGTAAATATTTTTATGGCTAGACATAACTTATATAATACATAGCCTGATTTGTACAGCTCTGATTTTTCAAATTGAAATATCTGAAGAAAAATGAAGTTTTTTAACATGCAAGTCACAGCTAGGACTGTATTTTCCCAATGAGCTTACAAATTCTAAAATGTTTTCCTGTTACTAAAGGACTGTGATTTCTTAGCCAAAGGCACAGATCGATTTTGAATTTTCATTCTTCAACATTTTTTATAGCTTCATTTTTTTATTAACAGTAAAACAAAGTAATTAGGTCAGGATTTGGCTGAGACAACTATATCAGAGAGGGTGGACAACATGCTTCTCCTATGACGTTGTCAAAAAAACAGTGCTTTTACAGTCTGCTGCATTGTGTCGCTTCCCATGTCAGTTGATCAGAATTGCTCCAGCTATCTTGAATTTTGACATAATTTAGTAATTGAATCATTATTTTCATTCACAGCATTTTTTTTTAAGTTCTGTTGTTGGATTTCCCCCCTCCACCTTTACCCTTGAATTTCTCTTTATCTAGTCCAGAGCCCATAGTAGTACACACTTAATTTGAGCATCCATTCACTTGGAACATGTGACTTTTGAAGCCACTGAAGATTCCTAGATATCCCATGCTTCCCTTATTAAACAAGTGTACCAACTCCAAATTGCCTCCTTTAGTTATTGAAAGTTTGAAGTTGCCATAACCAGAGTGTGTCATTTGGTTGAAGGAGACAGCAGTTCTGTTTCCTGACAGACAAATTCCCCAGATCCTGACAATCCCTTCTTTCCTACTGGGAATACACAGGCCTAGAACACTATGTTCTGGACAAGCTGCTAGCTGATTATACGTGAAATAAATAGTTTCCCACCATCATAAGGAACATTTTAAAAAGAGACCTTTGAGTATATGACGTCACTGAAGAAGCTACAAATTGTGATCATTTTCCCAATATCATTTGAGATAGTGGCAACTTGAGAATAGCACCAAACATAAGCATGTAGGTTTTGCCAATACATGCCCAGTTGTTATGTGCTGCTTCACATCAAGGTAAACGAAAGCTGGCAAGTGAGTTAACTTTCCAATATAGAACATGTTTGGGAAGAGTGATCCTTTTTGCTTGATTCCATTAGAAAATATAGAGGCATATGGCAGAACAGAATTGCTCTGATATGTAATAGGTATTGAAAATTGCTCCAAAGGCCATGTAATTTTACTACATACTTACATTTACACTTAGGCAAGGCTATTTCTGCATAGCTATAAAACATTCACATGGAAGTTGTAAATATTATTTACTATTTGAACATGTGAAAATGTTTGGCATCAAACACATTTTCTCAATATATGCCAGTTAGAGTAGGGTAGATAGATGGATGTTCAGCAAAAAGTTTTGGCCTTGAATAGACAGTGCTTTAAACAATGAAGTTCATCTCTGCCAACTTAATGTAGTTCTTTACATTAATGGGCACCATCGACGATCATAGATACCTGGCTCTTCAGTGATCATTCCCAATAAGCTTCATTTTCACAGAAGTAGAATCTCAAATTCAGAGTGGGGAATATTGTGGTATATTTCACACACAGAACTGGAACAAGAACCATAATCTCCTGACTCTTAATTCAATAACCCTTCATTATTTCTCTCTCTTTCTTCCATTTCAGTTGAAATTCTGAACAGCAGAGTTATGGAGTATCGGAATCTCTCCATGAGAACCTCCATATGGCCTTTTTATATCTATTCTCATACATCCTCTTCTACCAACACAACAATAAGTGTAGTACAGTCAATATATTAAAGAAGGCAAACATATAAACCAACAGATTCAGATATTAACAAGCATTAAAAATGGAGATGTTGAAAGAAAACACAAATAGAAAACTAATAACTACCATCGATCTTAATTGGATTTGATAGATAGATATGACCATGAAAATTTGTAGCTTGTTATGTTACTCTTTGTGATTTTCCAATAACCATTATACTAGGTGAATTTCTGTAGTGGACTGTTGGTTTACTGTACATTCTTGGTGGATAAATGTTCATCTGTTTTGAAGTGTTACCTTACTATTTTGTTTACACAGTAGCTTGTTGGGTTGATTTAGAATGTAATGAGTATATCTACTACCATTTTTTCCCATTATTGTATTGTGTTGTGTTGTGTTGTGTTCAATTTTTACATACTATAGTATTTCGCTGCATATTTTTGGTGTTTGATTTTGACTAAGATGTTATTAGTGGAGAACAGAAGTGTATGTGCTTGAAATACATGACAGGCTCATGTTAATATTCTCTCTCTTAGAATATTTCTGTAGGGGCAGACATTTCTTGGGGCAGACATTGAAAAGACCTCACTGTTGAGTGTGCACAAAACCTGTTCATAAACATGTGTGTATACAATTTGTACTGCAGATCTGACCTTGCATAATACAATCTAACTACTAATTGTTTTTGTAAGAGAGAAATAATTACCTGCACAAAGCAGACAACAGCTTAAAATATTAACCACTAGTTCTCTTAAATGACTTGAAAAATAAAGACTTTATCTTTAAATTAATTTTTCAGCATTTATTCTAAAAATGATATAAAGTGTCCATCACACTTTCTGTGGCTCAAGAATCCTGTCTCCTGGATTGAGTGTCTAAAACTGAGCTATTTTTCATTTCATCTGAGAAACCGGTACTTGGGCTCTTAAAGATATGCTAATTACAGGTTATAAATCAAACAGAGAAATGGGAGTGTGGAGATAGTTTTTACAAACTGGAGGAAAGTGTGTAAAATCATTGCAATGTAACTTTTTACACAAGTGCCATTTTCCAAATGTAAATGGCTCATGCTCTTTAGACTACTCTTTGAATAGTAAGTAAGATGCAATCCAGCAAAAGTCAGTTGGGGTGAAAGAGAATTGGTTCCAAATGAGGCCTTTCTTCCCCAAATGGACAATCTTTTCTATTGATCACAGAAGGAGACTGAGTATAGGTTTGGAGAAATGGCAGGGACAGGGGGTAAGGAGGGAGGCATTTCAATTATCTTTTGATTCATTAAAAAAAAAAAAAAACTAAGAAAGATGTCTGCAGTTGTCTTTAGCTTCAGTTCCACTGAATTTCCAGTTTTGTTAAATACTGCTTCAGGGTGATACATGGCCAGGGTTTCCCTGCCATAACTTGAATATCAGAGCCTCTCCAAACGTCTTTTTAAGTTTTTCTGATTCGTTTGCCTGTTTGAAAGTTGTAATTGATTTTTAGCACCCTTCGGATGATACAGAGTGGCTATTTTCCACAGAGCTGAGCTGAGTTCACATTACTTAACATTTATGAAGTAATCTTACAACCAAGTGAATTGTGGTTAATTGATTCCTGTGGTGTGTAGCATGTCTCCTCCACTGTACTCAGTTCTTAACATTACTATTTTACAGTGGCGGAAGCATATGATATTTTACATCAACTTTGATTAATATTTTCTACTGACTATATGTTCTCAAACGGGGAAGTATAAAACCATCAGGTTTGGTTTGTATGAAAGAGTTGCTTATGTCCATCATGAAAATGACAACAAAGAGAAAATTGGTTAAACTATCTACTGGTGTTTGAATCACAGAACAATGGAATTGCCAAAGACCTTTTCACATTTGATGAAACAGGCCCAGGGCATGGGCCGAGTCTACCTAGCCATCGTGGGACCCAGAAGTGTCTCCTGAGTCCCAGTTGTTTCTTCTTTTCACATTGCGCTTTAGAACATTTCAAATTCTATCCTATAACAGATCAATTTGGCTCAGAAAGCCTAAAAGTAAGATTAGTTCTCTGGGAGTTGATATCCTGTTGATCTTCATTGTCAACCCAAATCTTGATCAGTGGTGATTTCCAAACACTCTTGCTTGTAGTGAGCCAGTGTCATCTGTTAACAATGTTGCCAGGAGTTAGAGATCAACAGTTGTTCTGACTTTTACCTGTGGACTCTTTGAACCACTTAATTTCTGTTTCTCTAAATCGTAACATTGCTAGAGAAGACAGTGGAGTATGCCTTTGGAAATCCCTTGTGTACAGAACTGAGCTTTATGTAATCTGTGCCAGCACCTCTCCAGAAGGGCAGATCTAATTGTATGAATCCAGTAAGAATGCACTTGAACTAGTCTGGATGTAGTCCTTAAAGGAGATGGGGACTGTTTTTGTGCAAAATGAACTTTGGTGTAGTTTGACATTTTGATGCAACATACTATCTCATCTAATCTTTTAAACTTTTGGCAAAGATGTACATAGTTAAGAAACCTAGAGTACAGCCATATTCATGTTGCTTTAAGCACTGGAAGACGTTAAAATGACTTAGTTTTAGTAGAGGTTCAGTGAGAGTTATTTAGGGTTGTTGTTCTTTTAGTGCCACAATTTTCTATGTTATTGGCATTTTAAAACTTGATTTTAAGTTAATCTACAATTTTCTATGTTGTTGGCATTTTAAAACTTGATTTTAAGTTAATTTGAGAAAAAAAAGCTCAAAGCCCTAAAATTTTGATCAAATTCGATGGTTTTGAGAATAATACACCTTCAAGATAGCATTCTTTAAACTAGTTGTGCAATGACTTATTCACATTATCTTCATTCAAAAAAAGATGAAAGATAAGTCATGAGACTATAAATTTCCAGTTAAAAAGTCAAGTCACACAACTAATAAGTGATTCTAAATGAAAATTTACTGAATTAATATTGTATATATAAAATTCTAACCACTTATGATTCTTAGTTAATATTTTATAAGCTTTGTATTTTACAAGGACCTTTTTTCTCTATTCTTATTTCCCTCAAATTATAGCTTTTGTCCATTTCCTCAGCCTTTTGCAAACATATGCAAGAGTACTGAAACTTGGATTAAACGGGTTATGTATACAGAGAAAATAATCTAAAAGTTATCTTTTAAGAAGATTTTAGTAGTGTCAATATTTTTAAAAGACACTATGTCACCATAACATAAGTCTATTTTAAGGAGGGATTAAGATGAAACTAAAAATAAATGGATTCATAAAATTGCTATTTAAGTACAGTATTTACTTTTGCAACCGAGGCATGATTCCACAAACAGCTGTTGCATTTCATTTCACTTGTCTGGATTAGAGTCTTTAATTTGTAGTTAATTGTGATGTGGAAAGCCATTTTCTCCTACTCCATCAATCTTCTCCATCCGTTTTTGAACATGCTAAAGCACTTTGATCTTGCCGTAAGTGTTGTCCTACACCATTAGGCTGTGTTCACTAATGGGAGGCATAGATAGGCTCACCTGCTCTCCAGTTTGGAAGAAGCAAGTCCCTCCTCACTGCCATCAGCACTCAGTGAAACTAATCTTTGCAGCTTGAGTCTGCTTTTCACGGCATGACCAGTAAGCATAGTGATGTCGGATAAAAAAACACATTTACATTACATTTTATTAAATAACAGGAGGCTCATTTGCAACTTGGAATGATATTTGGTGCATTTTCCCCTTTTTGGAGAGTGTAGATGAGGAAGCTCTTAGGTAAAATGAAGCCACAAATTTTCCAAGTTCCTTAGTCTGTTGAGTAGGCTGTAAGGCCCAGAATAATTAGAAACTGGTCTTCATTGTTTTTAACTCTAATACCTTTTATACACATTGAAGTAGAAATAGATAAAATATATGTAAGAACTCTGATTTTAAGAATTAGATGAATAGATTTAGAAAGATAGTTGCCTAATACTACCAGTGCCTGTGTTAGGCAATAGAATAAACAGCATGCAAAAGAATGTAGCAATTCTTTGGCAAATTTAGTTGCTAGCCTAATCAAACTGTAAATAAAACTACAACTACAGGTTCTGAGCACCAACCCACTAATTGGTGCCACATTTTCATTTTTCTTACTGTTAGGTTTTAAGGTGTTTATTTTATCACTGTTTTCTGTTTCTAAGTAACTAATGAATTTAACTTTGAAGGAAAGTTAGAGAAAGTTTAAGCTTTTACTACATGTATTCAACCCACCTAGGCAGGCCCTAAACTGACACTGAAGCATGAAATAATATAGATTATAGTCCATAACTCTTCTTACAGTTCACACAAAAAATAAATTATAGTCCATAACTCTTCTTACAGTTCACAGTTTAAGAACAAATTAAACCTTATGTACAAATAATAGTTGTTAACTATATTTACAGTTTAAGAACACATTAAACCTTATGTACAAATAATAGTTGTTAACTATATTTAGTCGTTGCTTTGACAACAAAACTACAACATGGCTACCTTTAGACATTTTTGTGTGTGTGAAAATTTTACTTGTAAACTATATTGTGGTTTGTGACAGTATGAGCATGTAGAAGATACAGCTCAAAACTCAGAACACAGATATGGTTGGATATATTTTTTTTTAATCCCAAAGTCCCATGTGAAAGCTGAATTTGAGCCCTTGTGTGACATTTTGGTCAAACCGTTTACAGCACATGGATTCTAAAGTCAGCTTTATAGTTTATAGAATTTGTTGCATGGATTGAGTTATTCCACAGTATTTAGACTTAAAGACACAATCAATACATAATGCATTATGTGCCTTTTTTCCATAACTTTATTCAAAATTGCTCTCTTTAAGTGGCATAGCGATAGCTGCAAAAGATTCTGTTTTCTGAAATTACCTAAAAAATGTATCCATATGAGGATTAAAACACGACTAAAGCATAGTTTGAAATGAATTAATATTTGTGAACCAATACTTAAAGATACTGTGGAATGACCCCTTAACAGTGTTTAAGAGACATATGCTGCAGTTAACTGATTGTCTCAGTTAGGGTGCGAATGTGTGAGACACACCTTTTTTGCACTTATGTACATAGTCCATGAAAGCAATCCTTGGAGCTGGTTTTTTTTTTTCTCTCTTAAAAAAAAAAGTCTGTGATAATAGTGGAAGTTAGTAAGAGTTATTTCTAAGGCTTTGAGAAGGAGGGTTGTTGGCTTGGTTTTGGGGTTTGTTTTTTTTTTTTTTTTTTTTTTGCTGTATGGCTTAACTAAACCTTAATGATGTTTTGCTGTTGTGGGGGCGTTCTAGTTTACTACAGCTCAATCAAAAGAGAAGAATGGTGGTAGAAAAGAAAAGTCAACTTTAGCTAACAGCACTGAACAAGAGAAGTACTTCAACTTTTAGCAAAACCACCAGCCAAGACTGTTGCTTTTTGAAGTGAATCCTCACTACACACACACACACACCAGGCAGATTTCTGGCAGAGCTTTTCATTTTGCCATGATTGTAAATAGTGAAATACTTTGTCTATTTCAAGATAGCATTCCCATTATGATCAGGTTTCATCTTTTATAGCAAATTATCAATTAATATATATATCAATTACTATGTATGTCAATGAATATGTAATTAAGTAAAAATATTGTTAACATTAACCACAAGTCCTCCTTTAAGATCTAGAAACCAAAACTAAATTGGCAACCATTAAAAGATTTTACTTAACAATTAATTATGGCCTATACAAACAGCTCATTTCCTTCAATGGGGGAAAAAAAATCTCCTGGCACAACTTTATAAATGACTTTATTTACATTATATCTGCTCAGTGGAAGCTGTTTTCGGACCTTCCTTTACCAGATTACAAAGTACTTCTCTGTGCCACTCCAGCCTCGCACTGTTTTGTTTTAACTAAATAAATAGGAGAGTATCAGCCAAAATTTTACATACACAGAAGCTGGATGAGAACGTTTCAGTTGGACCATCATTGGCAATTTGAGCTCCCACATCACCTACAGATAGCCATTTAACTCTCTTGTTGCCCCGATACAATGAAGCCTAGAAAAGGTCAAAGTTAGGAAGGTTAAGGGACCCATTACCACAAGTACTTCACATTTTATAGCATGTTGCCCTTCCCTTGGAGAAGGAACCTGTTTGGGGAGGGGTGGGGGTTGGTGGTATTGCCACCCGTTTTGACAGCTCTCACAGAGACAGAAAAATAAACCAAAGCCAGAAAGCAATCCAAGCCTTACAGTTTTCTAATTGCTCAGGGCCAGTTGGCTATAAATCCCAACTCCACACCTTAGTCCATAACCACATGGAGTCAGCCATGTAACAGCCTGACAATCCAACCAGCATTTCTTTCCATTAATGTGAAAAATAAACATTCATTCATCCATTCAGTAGTCTGCAATTCCATGGTCTTATAGCCAATGTAATGTCCCAATTTGACACAAGTCCTCATGTTGTCATTTCCTTGTGAATCTGTAAGTCACAAAAATATATATCCACAAACTCAATAGAAATGAGGGTTTTTTGGGTTTTGTTTTGTTTTTAATTTTGCTATACGGCAAGTGCGCTCACCAGAGAGAGAAGGAAAGTGAGAAATCACCCCCATGCCACAATCCCTTCTCCTCCATTCTCCTCTCAGGATTTTAAGCATGCGTGTCCATGCACATGCGCCCAGCGTGCTTTTCAAGCTGCTGGGTCTGAGACTCATGTGTTCATTTGGCCATGTGGGATCCAGTTGCCTTAACCTTCATGCCACCTGCTGGCTCCATAGAAATATGAGACTTTAAGTCAGGAAAAATCATTTATAAAATTGTAGTGACAGCCCTAGAAACATCACTAAAAATATCTAATGAATAGATGTCATGGTGTGCATGCTCACAGCCTCTGGGTCACAGTCTGGACCTTAAACACAGTGACTGTGTTTAAATAAGTAAAACATATTAGGGAATGAAATACAGCAAATGCATATAACTGAAGTCAAAACCTATCCTCTATTATTAAGCCCAGGAAAGGGTTTAGTTTGACTAACAAGTAAGAATGTCCAGCCCCTCCACTTGAACTTACCTGTAAGAGAATCACTTGTTAATACTCAAAACCTTGATTATTCCAGTCAAATTTTATTTTTAAGTAGAAACGTCCCCACTGCAATTGTTTACCTAAAAGAGAGAAAAAAATCATATATTTTTACAGAAATTGCAGAAATCCTTGCTAGTCATCTTCTACGTCACAATACTTTAAAAAAAAAAAACTTTCATAACAAGACCTAAAAGTAACCCAACTATTAATCAGTGCTTTTTTTTTTCCCTCCCAAAACACACAACCTAAAGATTTATCTGTCATAAAACTGCATGGTTCCAAAGCTTTATTGCTGTATACAGATGTTATTTTCTTTGTAATGGAAGCCAAATTATTTTGTTACGTCTTTGTGTCTAGCAGTTGAGAGAATGATATAACCATTAAATCCCTGGATTCTGAGGATGGCCTTTCAAAACAGGTTTTCTTTTATTATGGTTGTTACTGCTTTAATTATGAGAAAATGAAACAATTGTTCCTATACTCCTAAATAATTATTTTTTTAAAATGCTTAAAGATTACTCCTAAATAAGGCCTAACATTACATAATAACAA